ACGGCGAAATCCCATCTCTACAAAAAATACAAAAGTTACCTGGGTGTGGTGGCACATGCCTGTAGTCCCAGCTACTCAGGAGGCGGAAGCAGAGAACTGCTTGAGCCTGGGAAGCAGAGGTTGCAGTGAGCCAAGATCGCACCACTGCACTCCAGTCTGGGAGACAGAGTGAAACTCCGTCTCAAAAACAAAAACAAAATATACACAAGCTTTAACATGAATATGGAATCTTAAAAAGCCAGACATGGTCCTGATCTTTAAACATTCTTTATTGAAATCTAACCACAATAAGATAGGATTCTACAACCAGCACCAAAAAACCCCAGTCACTGTTGACAATTATTTGTAGTGACCAAAAGCTCAAATGATGCTTCTCTGTAATCTCCTGTTTTCCATGTTAACCCTGCTAGCTACTTCTTTCCTTCCCCAACATATAACTCCTATAAAGAAACGTAGTCACTGTGGTCATAATTCATGGCTTAACAACTTAAACTTATTCTTTAAGTTTGAGAATAAAATGTTTTACCTTCAAAGAGAATACTGTAAGAGCATATGGGCTGTAGATTAGAATTCTAAATTATTTATATGTATATATGAGTATGCATATATTTCTTATAAGCTGCTAAAAATCTTTCCTTATTTTTGAAAATCTGATGGGTAAACTACTACCATTTCTACATTTGACATTTATGAGGATATACATACATATTCTGACACCAAGCATGATCCAGAAACCATACAACTTTGTAACAGTAACCACATTAGTGGGAGTTACTAAAAATGGCTTTTAGTTTAGGCTGGGTGTGGTGTCTCAGGCCCAGCATTTTGGGAAGCAGAGGCCGGAGGACTGCTTGAAGTCAGAAGTTCGAGACCAGCCTGGCAACACAGTAAGACCCAACTTCACAAAACAACTTTAAAAATAAAAAACTAGGCCGGGCGCAGTGGCTCAAGCCTGTAATCCCAGCACTTTGGGTGGCCGAGGCGGGTGGATCACGAGGTCAACAGATCGAGACCATCCTGGTCAACATGGTGAAACCCTATCTCTACTAAAACTACAAAAAAATTAGCTGGGCATGGTGGTGCGTGACTGTAGTCCCAGCTACTCAGGAGGCTGAGGCAGGAGAATTGCCTGAACCCAGGAGGTGGAGGTTGCGGTGAGCCGAGATCACGCCATTGCACTCCAGCCTGGGTAACAAGAGCGAAACTCCGTCTCAAAAAATAAAATAAAATAACATAAAATAAAAAAATAAAAAACTAGTCAAGTGTGGTGGTACATGCATGCAGTCCCAGCTACTTAGGAGGCTAAAGTGAGAGGATTATTTGAGCCCAGGAGTTCAAGGCTGCAGTGAGCTTTGATGACGTTACTGCATTCCAGCCTGAGTGACAGAGCCAGACCATATCTCCAAAAAAGGAAAAAAAAAAAAAAAAAAAAAAAAAAAGCTTTAAAAAAATAAGGCCGGCCGGGTGTGGTGGCTCACACCTGTAATCCCAGCACTCTGGGAGGCCAAGGTGGGAGGATCACCTGAGACTGGGAGTTCAAGACTAGCCTGACCAACATGGTGAAACCCTGTCTTATGAAAATAAACTTAAAAAATAAAAATGGCCAGGCGCGGTGGCTCAAGCCTGTAATCCCAGCACTTTGGGAGGCCGAGGCGGGTGGATCACGAGGTCAAGAGATCGAGACCATCCTGGTCAACATGGTGAAACCCCGTCTCTACTAAAAATACAAAAAATTAGCTGGGCATGGTGGTGCATGCCTGTAATCCCAGCTACTCAGGAGGCTGAGGCAGGAGAATTGCCTGAACCCAGGAGGCGGAGGTAGCGGTGAGCCGAGATTGCGCCATTGCACTCCGGCCTGGGTAACAAGAATGAAACTCAGTCTCAAAAAAAAAAGTAAATAAAATAAAATAAAAATAAGGCCAAATAAAGCTATAATTGGTGGTAGGTAAATATCTGGATGGATCTGACACACTATATAGCTACAGAGATGTGACTTCCAAATCTTCTAAAGGGATCCTGATTTAGAACATTCTCTCTGGCAGAAAAGGCAAGCTCAGGGAGTATTATTCAGGCAAATAAAATAAGTGCCGGGCTGGGCGCAGTGGCTCATGCCTGTAACCCCAGCACTTTAGGAGGCTGAGGTGGGCAGATCACCTGAGGTCAGGAGTTCGAGACCAGCCTGACCAATATGGTGAAACCCCATCTTTAAAAAAATAAAAATAGGCCGGGCGCGGTGGCTCAAGCCTGTAATCCCAGCACTTTGGGAGGCCAAGGCGGGTGGATCACGAGGTCAAGAGATCGAGACCATCCTGGTCAACATGGTGAAACCCCGTCTCTACTAAAAATACAAAACATTAGCTGGGCATGGTGGTGCGTGCCTGTAATCCCAGCTACTCAGGAGGCTGAGGCAGGAGAATTGCCTGAACCTAGGAGGCGGAGGTTGCGGTGAGCCGAGATCGCGCCATTGCACTCCAGCCTGGGTAACAAGAGTGAAACTCTGTCTCAAAAATAAATAAATAAATAAATAAATAAATAAAATAAAATAAAATAAAAATAAAAAAAATCAGTGTCTAGCAAACTTTTAAGTGTGTCTGAACCTTTAAGGTAGTCTTTGATCCCACACTGGCCTTTAGTCAGAGTAAATACAGTATGATTTTATGGCCACTATGAAGCTCCTAGATGCAATGAAACTCCCTATCGCATCTGTGCACACACGCACACAGATAACAATCCACAGTTCAAGTGCTACGGGCACTCAAGCAAGTCAGTGTTTACGGTGGGGAGCCAATCACTGGCCAATTATTTCAGCCCACTTTTCAGTGGGGCTCACTGGAACATTCTGACACCTGTGAGCTGCCCTGGCCCCAAGAACTAACGAGAGCCAGAAAGGGTATGCAACCAGTCCTGTGTGTCCCTAAGTCCCTTCTTTCTATAACTGTCCCCTTACCCTATGGGGCCTAGAGCTGGTGAAACTGAGGAAGGTTCATGTAAGGGTCACTCACATCACTTGTGTCAGAGAATATTCGAGACTACTAAAAACTCCCATTCATTCTTCCCCAAATCAGAGAATATCTTGTCTTTATTCAAAGTTTTCCTGGCCAGGCATGGTGGCTCACGCCTGTAATCCCAGCACTTTGGGAAGTCCAAGATGGGGAGATTACTTGAGGTCAGAAGTTTGAGACCCGCCTGGCCAACATGGTAAAACCCCATCTCTACTAAAAACACAAAAATTAGCTGGGCATGGTGGCATGTGCCTGTAACCCCAGTTACTTGGGAAGCTGAGGCACTAGAATCGCTTGAACCCAAGAGGCGGAGGTTGCAGTGAGCCAAGATCGCGCCACTGCACTCTAGCCTAGGCAACAGGGCGAGAGCCTGTCTCAAAAACAAAACAAAAAAACCATAGTTTTTCTGTACATAGCTAGCCTGGAAAACCTCCAGTTTTATGACACTTCAATAATATGCTTAGACTAACATGTTCTTTGTACATTGTTTTCTGTACAACAAAGTATTTGGCCCTAAACTGAGTGGGTGTCCCATGCTGCTGCCCCATGCGTGCCCTAGGAACTAAAGAATCTATTTTAGTGTGGATGCAGCTAAAGAAGGCATTCGGTCAGGGCTGTTGAAGCAAGAAGCAATGCAACTGAAAGCAGTGACTAGGGCCCTTTCAAATAACGGCTAAGAACAGTATCTACACTATCCTAAGTGCCAAGCACTGCTTTAAGTCCTTTACATAAATTAACTCATTTATTTCGTCCTCTTAACAACACCACGAGACAGGTAGTCTTCCTACTCTCAGGAAACTGATACACAAAGAGGTAAGTCACTGCCCAAGATCTTACAACTAGTAACTGACAGAGCTGGGCCTCAAATGCAGGTGGTGTGACCCTGGAGTCTGTACTTTTAACCACCATGGTGACTGCTAACTAAGCATTTCTTAACTAAGTTAAAGGAAAATACAACAGTAGCAGCAAATAAACCTCAGTGACTCTCTGAAAGCTGTTTAGAATATATTGGAGAGTTTCGGACAGGCCATAGCTACAATACCATAAAATAAGTTACTGAAATAAAAACAGAAATGTTTACTTTAGCATGCTCTACTGGATATTTAATATATATTTTTTGTATTCATTCTATTTTTTTTTTTTTTTTTTAAAGATGGGGTTTCACCATGTTGGTCAGGCTGGTCTTGAACACCCGACCTCAGGTGATCCGCCCGCCTTGTCCTCCAAAGTGCTTGGATTATAGGCGTGAGCCACCATGCCCAGCCCATTTTTTGTATTCATTCTAAAGTACTCTTACTTCAACAGTGAAACAGAGATTAGTTTGTTTTTAATCAGAAAATACAAGTACTAGTCTCTAATTTATATTATATTTAGATGGTCGGATTCATACAAATCCTAAAGTGGCAGGCCGCCAAATGCCTGGCACCTCTTTACAGTAAAAGTGACATCAAAAAGATATAGTAAGGTTCTTACCAAAATAAATAAATGCTTAGATATAAGAACGACTATTAAAATTTCTGAGTCACAAAACACCTAAAGGTTTTTTCAGTCACAAAACATGCTAAAGGCTTTTATCAACATTTTCTTCACAGAAGACAACTACTTCTCTTATGTGGGGGTAGATTTGCAAATAGGCCAAAATTTCATAGGGAGGTGGGACATGGACCCTCCCCGTCATTAGAAGTCATTTTGTCAGGACTCATGGTGGCCATATGGTGTTTTAAATGCTAACAGAAAACAAGTGAGTCAACTTATGCACATGAGAAGCAAACTATGAATAAAGAATAAGGAAGTGGAGGAACCAGTTCAATAAGTTCAGATACTACTTGATGATACTGTCACAGGCCTCAGTATCTTCTTTATGTCCTAAATAGAGCCACCAACAGGAAAAAAGGTCACCTAACAGAGAATGCTGTGAGATTTTTAAGTTGCTAGACTCCTTTCCATCTTGTCCTCCTCAGCTCTTGATACTGCTGTCAAATTCTACACAATGGCAAAGAAAAAGAGGGGTGAAAGTTGAGGGATTTTATAGAGAAATAGCAAAATTTGTTGTGGCCGGGCCCGGTGGCTCAAGCCTGTAATCCCAGCACTTTGGGAGGCCGAGGCGGGTGGATCACGAGGTCAAGAGATCGAGACCATCCTGGTCAACATGGTGAAACCCCGTCTCTACTAAAAATACAAAAAATTAGCTGGGCATGGTGGTGCATGCCTGTAATCCCAGCTACTCAGGAGGCTGAGGCAGGAGAATTGCCTGAACCCAGGAGGCGGAGGTTGCGGTGAGCCGAGATCACGCCATTGCACTCCAGCCTGGGTAACATGAGTGAAACTCCGTCTTAAAAAAAAAAAAAAAGTTTGTTGTGATTACTTGAATTAATATAGTATAGCCATTGATATAATTTTAAATGCTTAAAACACATTGCCTGTCCTTAAAGATATGCCCATGCGAACCTTAAAACAATCACAATACCTGAAGAATCGACTGGATTACATTTCAGCAAGACATCAACCTTCTCTTCCACCTCCCACCCACCCCAGGAAGTAAACATGATTCATTTTATGAAAGCATTGGTAAAAATCTGCTTGTTCCCTGGAATGGCTATCAAGTTGTAGACAAGGTAAAGTATAATTACCAACATCTAGGAGTCTCAAACTTGTTTTTTAAAGACATATTTCTTATCTCAAAAAGCACCTCCACAGACTTATAACATGGGGGCATTCACCTAGAATAGATACACAGGGACTAAGCCACTGAGAAAGCTGGGAAAAGGGCACCAAGGAGCTTTGTGCAAACCACAGGCTTTCCCACACTGAACTGTGGCTGCTGAGCCTTGGCAATAGGCCATGTGCTTGAAGCCCTCTCTATGGCAGAGGGACTCACATTCACCGTTTTTTTAATTAACTTTTTAAAAATTTGAGATATAATTCAGACAGCATACAAACTCACCACTTTTAAATGTACATTTCAGTGGTTTTTAGTGTATTCACTCATGTTATGTAACCTTCACTATATCTAATTCCAGAAAATTTCCATCACCCCCAAAATAACCCTGTACCTATTATCCCGTGACTTTCTCCACAGGTATCTCCGTTGCCTACGCAGGTATTTTAAGACTGGCTAGGGTGAATCTATAGAGTATCTATATGGCAAGAAAACAAGAAGCAAAGAAAAAATAAATAAAACAAAAAAAGAAGAAAAAACAACAAAAAAAGAAGACAACAAGAAGCTACATTGTCCAGAGGAATACTAAACCTAAATTCTTGGCATTGTTAGCAATTAGGCTAATGTAATTTTTATATATTGGCTAAGAATGGCAGAGAAACTTACATTCAACATCCATCTTTACATAACAATTAGTGTGCCCCAAATTCATCCAAGATGTTAAAAGAAGGGAAGACAATCTACTAGGATTAGCCATAACTGTCCATAGTTGCAATTTCAAAACACAAAAGATACATATCGATAGTGGGAAAACCTCCTTCAGTATCAACATTAAAAACAAAAACAAAAACCTTAATCATTAAGCAAATATTACCCAGTTAGGGAAAATAATCACTAGACCAGTCCACTATTGAATGTAATGCAGCTTTAAATGCGACCTTACTGTCATCACTCTTGGCCTGGAGTCTCTTCTCATGAGAAAGATGACCTTTAGGCAAAGGTCTGGCAGGAAAGCCTGCAGATGTGTGCTGCTCAGGTGGCTGCTGGACTCTAGTGACCTAAGCGTGCTCATGGCTTCTAAGACACACAGGAAGAAGACCTCACCTTCAGGCATCAGGGTGTTGAAAAGCGGTAGGACGTGTAGGTCCACGAGGGTATCTTGCTTTTGTGCACTTATCTGGGGTGCTATTTGCAGAGAAGGAGCTCCTTTAAAGAGTGTGCCCAAGATGGATTCTCTAAGTTGCTCTCAGAGTTGTCCAGCTGCCCTCACCAATAAGTCACAGTCTTTGTAGGATGATAGAAACCACCAGTCAAAGCAGATGCATATGGGTTGTGGGGAAGCCTTCTTTAGTATCTAACATAGCTGGATTAAAACAAAAAAACTTAACCATTAAGCAATCTTGACTTTAATTAATAATTTAGATAATAGCAAATATCAACTAGGTGTTAAGCTTAAGAATCTACCCTTAGCAAGGGTACTTAACACTTGTTAACGGGGATTTTGTGGGATTAAGTAAAGGCTACAATGAGCTCCTAATTTCTGTCCTGCAAGAAATTAGTTCTACTTGACAAACAAGTAAATAAGATCCAGAAATGTTTATTGGTGATTTAACTTGTTCTCGCTGAGGTTGCTTAGTAACGCTTCCAATGACTTCTGTTGTGAAACAAGTAGTACTCCACTAATGCATGTACGATTTTATTGCAATTCGCAATAATGACTTAAATACATGTTCATTTCCAGGGTTTTCCAAAATACAATCAGATGCAATCAAGTGAAATGACTGACATTTACATAATACATAAACTGACAAAACTGCCTGAAAATAGTTATCTATGAAAGTATTACATTATCTTTAATTAGATGCCCAGGAAACCAGTCCTAAATTTAAATGAGGTCTAGATAGATGAGGCTATAAAGTATTTATTCTCTATCTACCTACAAGAAATCACCAAGTAGCCGAAAAACTCCTACAAACCTTCACTAAACTAGAATTTCATTTTCCTTTAACATGAGAGCATTAAGAAGTCTGAGAACAGGCTGTAGTGATCACAGCAGAAAGAATGAAAACATGATTTGTCTGTGACGTATACTTCCTCTTAGGGGGTCAAAACAATGAGGTCAGAAACTCGGAGTTTAATATTTATTTATTTTTATTTTTTCAAGCCAGAGTCTCGCTCTGTCGCCTAGGCTGGAGTGCAGCAGCATGATCTCAGCTCACTGCAACCTCCGCCTCCTGGGTTCAAGCGATTCTCCTGTCTCAGCCTCTGGGCAGCTGGGATTACAGGCATGTGCCACCACGCCCAGCTAATTTTTGTATTTTTAGTAGAGATGGGGTCTTGCCACCATGGCCAGGCTAGTCCCGAACTCCTGATCTCAAGTGTTCTGCCGACCTCAGCCTCCCAAAGTGTTGTATTACAGGCGTGAGCCACTGCACCCAGCCAATTATTTATTTATTTTTGAGACAGTGTCTTGCTCTGTCACCCAGGCTGGAGTGCAGTAGCAGCACAATCTTGGTTCACTGCAGCCTCAATCTCCTGGGCTCAGGGATCCTCCTTCCTCAGCCTCCTGAGTATCCAGGACTACAGGCACACACCACTCACTATACTTGGCTCATTTTTTCCATTTTTAGTAGAGAGGAGGTCTTGCTATGTTGCCCAGGCTGGTCTCGAACTCCTGGGCTCACATAATCCTCCTGCCTCAGCCTCCCAAAGAGTTGGGATTATAGTCATGAGCTACTACACTCAGCCAGATATTTCAGATGGTAGTTTTTCTGTGACCTTTCAACTATACATTTTCTTTTTTTTTTTTTTTGAGACGGAGTCTTGCTCTGTCACCAGGCTGGAGTGCAGTGGCACAATCTCGGCTCACTGCAACCTCCGCCTCCTGGGTTCAAGCGGTTCTTCTGCCTCAGCCCCCCGAGTAGCTGGGACCACAGGCACGTGCCACCACACCCGGCTAATTGTTTTGTATTTTTAGTAGAGACGGGGTTTCACCATGTTGGCCAGAATGGTCTCGATCTCTTGACCTCATGATCCACCCGCCTCAGCCTCCCAAAGTGCTGGGATTACAGGCATGAGCTACCACACTGGGCTCAACTATACATTTTCAATAGTATAACTGTTATACAGCAAAAAGCCAAAAGGTAGCTAAACTTGTAGATACATTTTGAGATGTGATTGCTACAAAAGTTCTCATTCTTAAATGTTTTTATAAAACTCTTCTAATATACAATACAGTATATTATTGCAAATAAAGCTGGATTAAATTCATTCTTTGTCAAATGCAAAGACAAACTGTCTAGTAAAAGGAGGTCACATGGTTCTTGTATTGGAAGAATATCAATACATACACATTATTGTTTTACTGACCGCTAAGCAAATACTTGGAGCTGTACGATAGAGGAACTTTTGACATACTATTTTCTAAAAGGGTTGGATTCCTCAAGCCCAGCACAAGTGCCTGCTACACCAATTTGCTGAAAGAATTATTCCAAAGTTTCTCTTAAAGCAAGATTATTCAAGAGTTCAGAAAGAAAAAATACCAACAAAATTATCCTTCCAACTATGTTATAAATAATCCTCTTGGTTTAGGAAAAGGAGGGCTCAAATTCTAAGAACTTTAATTTCAGCACAAGAATAAAGGGCAAGAAAGGGAAACCAACGGGAAGGCAACTTTTGCTTTTGGTGTATTCAACTGCGTTTGCCAAGATTGCCATGATGGTGAGTGAGACTCAATTATCACACAAGTGTCTCTGGATTATTGCAAAGACTACAGCATGTTACGTAATTTCAAATAACATCAGGTACAAAAATATACAAAATTAATTGACGCATAATAAAGGCCAGGTGAGGTGGCTCACACCTGAGGTCACACCGCTACACGCAAGCATGGGTGACAGCGGAGATCCTGCCTCAAAAAAAAACAAAAGAAGTTTAAAAAGGTAAAAAATTTGACAGGTGTCTGGGCATGGCGGCTCACGCCTGTAATCCCAACGCTTTAGGAATCCAAGGCAGGCAGATCACGAGGCCAGGAGTTTGACATCAGCCTGGCCAACATAGTGAAACTCTGCCTCTACCAAAAATATAAAAATTAGCCGGCCATGGTGGCGCTTGCCTGTAGTCCCAGCTACTTGGGAAGCTGAGGTAGGAGAATTGCTTGAACCCGGGAGAAGGCTGCAGTTATAAATTATTATTCTACTCTGTATGTCCATGTGTACCCATTGCTTAGCTCCCAAGCAGCTCAAATTTTTATAGGAAATTTACTAAAATTAAAATCCAAATGTTCCTGTCCCCTAACTCCTAAGGGCAATAAATGAATTCACCTTATGGGAGGGGGGGAAAAATGCAGGTATGGTGGCATGTGCCAGTAGTCCCAGCTACTCAGGAGGCTAAAGCAGGACTGCTGGAGCCCAGGAGTTCAAGTCCAGCCTGGGTAACATAGCGAGGTCACATCTCTTTTTTTTTTTTTGGACACAGTCTCACTCTGTCTGGAGTGCAGTGGCATAATCTTGGCTCACTGCAACCTCCGCCTCCTGGGTGCAAGCGATTCTCTTGCCTCAGCCTCTCAAGTAGCTAGGACTACAGGCACATGCCACCTGGCCCACGTAATTTTTTTTGTATTTTTAGTAGAGACAGGGTTTCCATGTTGGCCAGGTTGGTCTCAAACTCCTTACCTCAAGTGATCCACCGGCCTCAGCTGCTCAAAGTACTGGGATTACAGGCGTGAGTAACACCATGTCCTGCCCATGTCTCTTTTAAGACAGGGAAAAAAAAAAAAAAAAAAAACCTGGGTATGGTGGCCTCCCAGCACTTTGGGACGCCAAGGCCCATCAGTAGATTGCTTACTCCTGTTTGATCACAGGAGTTCAATACCAGCCTGGGCAACAAGGCAAAACCCCATCTCTACAAAAAATACCAAAAATATGTATCCAGGTACGCCTGTAGTCCCTGCTACTCAGGAGGCTGAGGTGGGAGGATCACTTGACCCAGGGAGGTCAAGGCAGCAGTGAGCTGAGATCATGACATTGCACTCCAGACTGGATGATGAAGACCTTATCTTAAAAATATATATATATTAGAGCCACCAAGTGCGCTAGTTCCATCATTATGTGTCCTCATGCTCCCTGCACCTCAGCCCTAGGAGGAGTAGGGGATGAAGTTTTCCAGGTCATCCCAGCTTCTGAATACCTAGTCTAGCAAGAAAGACAACTGATTTCTACCTCTGATTTTTGGAGATAAAAATATAAAAACACGGCCGGGTGCGGTGGCTCATGCCTATAATCCCAGCACTTTGGGAGGCCGAGGCAGTTGGATCAAGAGGTCAGGATTTCGACACCAGCCTGACCAACTTGGTAAAACCCCATTTCTGCTAAAAATACAAAAATTAGCTAGGTGTGGTAGCGCGTGCCTGTAATCCCAGCTACTCAGGAGGCTGAGTCAGGAGAATTGCTTGAACCCGGGAGGTAGAAGTTGCAGTGAGCCAAGATCACGCCACTGCACTCCAGCCTGGGCAACAGAGTGAGACTCCGTCTCAAAAAAATAATATACACACACACACACACACACACACACACGAACAGACAAAGAGATAAGAACATCTACAATCTGCCATCAAGCTTGGGTATTTCACCTACTCCTGTTGATTTCCTAAGACACCTCAAGAGCCAAAGTCCCATTACTCTGTACTTACCCACAAGGAATGGAAAGGCAGGTTTTAAAGAAATGAGCATCAAGAGGACAAAGACTCAGATACTGACATTTACTCAGCTGTTCACTTGTTTCACCTGCCAGTTCAGAATAAGATGGCCTTTCTAATACAGATTCCATACTATGCTCAATGACAGCACAACACAGAAACACAGGTTGCTGAAACCAAGACTGTCTTGACTCCATGTGTTTATTTTACTAAAAACAGTTATCTAAGCAACCAGAGATTATAAAGAAGGTCCAATTACGTGAAGTTTCCAGATTCGAAAATCAAGACGACACCATTCAACTGATCAGTAGTCTCTGGGCTACGAACATCTCACCAAAACCAAGATACAGTAACAAAGAAGTTCCAATTATGTGACGTTTCCGGATTTGAAAATCAAGACTACACCATTCAACTGATCAGTAGTCTCTGAGCTACAAACATCTCTCCAAAACCAATGGAAAGATTGCCAAAGATCTCCAGTAAGAAAGGACCAGGAAAGCAATGTCCATATCATAGAAGGAACAGTTAACATGTCAGACTGTAGTCAAGAAGCTTAAATTATTTCAGCCAACAGAGAATCCCACAAAGAAACCATACACTTCCCATAACCAATGTTCCCCAATCGCTGAACAGTCTCCCAAGGTCTTACTTCTGTAACAAGCCAGAGTTCCTCCTGTCTACTTTGAGTTCTTTCCACTCCAACAGATGATTATGCTCTTCGTTCACTGAACAATTTAAGAGCTGCTGTTCAATCCCCCAGGTTCCAAAACCTCTCGCAGGCAGGGATCCTTTTAAACATGCACATCGCTCAGGAGCACATGGGGATGAAAGGCATTCGCAGAGCATCGGGAAAATGGAAAGCAACATTTTGCTTAACAGGAGAAACCGCCCCTTATTCATCTTTCTTCCCCATCACCTAACTCTAGGGAATGCTTAAGGTGGCTTGAAGGAATCGAAGACAGCGACCTAAAAGCACACAGATGCAGACTTCCAGGAAGAGGTTTTCCCATCCTGCTGGACTCTTGTAGTGTCAGTATTTGGGCTTCCCTCTAATGCCACATTTCTGCTGAACCTGCAGACATACTCGGAACCCATCACCTTCGGGCTCCCAGACTCAGGCTCCGCACAGCCCGCGAGGGAAATAGTCATGGGCACGCACCAACACGTTTTCATCTTTGCATGTTTATCTACGTCGACTGTGAATTCAAGCAAGGGTGGCCCTCGTGGACAACCTACGAGCCGTGGGGACACAAAAGGCATCCTGTGCAAATTGCACGGAATCTCCTGACAGGACTTCACGCTAATCATCATTCATAGGTGGGTTCTGGGGCTGGGGCCCACGGAACTCGTCTCGGTTGTGTCTTGGACTTCTCACTGCCCCAAAGGAGCCTACTACTGTGGTTTTATGGTCTGAGGAACAGTTAGGCCTCGAAGGCCTGGCCTGGGGAGACTGCACTCTACATCCCGAGCTCCCGCCTTCCCCACTCGGCCGCCAGGACCGAGTTTCCCGCCCCACAGCCCGACCAGAGGTTGGTGGCAGTTGTAGGCAGTTGGGACCGGCCCTAGCAGGTTGGAACCGGTCTGGGCCGGGCCGGAGGAGGAAGGGGGGGAGGAAGAGGCCGCCTCGCGCTCTCCCTGCGCGCGTGACTCACGCTGGCCGCTGACGTCAGGCGTGCGCGCGCGGCGGGGGGGGGGCTCTACGTACGTGTAGTGCTGCGGTTTCTCGGGCTGTGCCTGCAGCACCTGAGCGGTAGCGGCCGGGGGCGCCGAGGAAGCTGCGGAGCCGCCGGGCCCGGGGCCCTTCGACATGGTCCTGTCTTCCTGCCTCTTCGCCGCTCCCCTTTTATTATTCAGTCTGCGCGGTCCGCGCCGAGGACCCAGTGCGCCTGCGCCGCGCCACGAGAACGTGAAGACCCCCCACACGGCAGCAAGGGTTGCTGGGAGTTGTGGTTCTGTGTCCGGCTGGAATTTTACCGTCGGCAGAGGGTTGCTGGCAAAGCGCGGGACCACGACACCCAGGGATCCTTGCTGCCAATATCCCGGATGCTGAGGGCCTGCGACGGCTTCTGGGAATTGCAGTCCGGTCGCGTTTCTCCTTACCAGACCGTTTTCAGTTTCACAGGGAAGCCTTTCCATGAAACTGGAGCTCCTGGAGGAGAAGAGGCCCAGAGCTAGGGAGGCCCTAGCGACTTCTGCGAAAGAATTCCGAGTATAATTTTACTGCCAACAGTGTCATAACTACCTTGCCTTTATACTTAGTACAGCTTGGGTCAGTCCTAATGCCAGCTCAGAGCAGTGCCTCCAAGCAGGGCGTAAGAATCTGTATTGTCGGTTCTTAGTTCTGGGCCCTGTGCTCCAGGCACCTGCAGTCCGCCAGCAACCCCTTCATCCCTGTGGCGGGTCTAACCTGAAAGGCACTGAGAACGCTTTGCTAAGGAGGAACTACACCACGTGCTCCAATTCCCGCGCCTTTGCTGAGGCGCTTCATTTACCTTTAACAACCTCCACACCTGGAATCCACGGCTTGTGTGCCTTCTCAGCTCGACACCTGGCCTGACCAACTTGTTTCCAGTACATTAAGGGCCAAGGACGAATTTAATCTCCGCCTAGAATAGCCTCTGAGGTACATTGACAAGTTGTAGGAGCGTTGAGAAGCATCACGGTGTCCAGAGGAAAGGCCTAGCTTTGAGTAGGGCGTGCCCGTGTTTATCCGCTCTAGTTTTCTTCTCTGGACGTCAGCCTTTTCACTTGGGACACTATCTTTCCCCTCTCTGCTTCCCGCCTGTCAAGCAAAGTTGTTAACTTTGTAAAATAAGCCAGATGCCCCAGACCTAGGCATTTGTTTCTGTGAGTTTTAGAATGTTCTCCACTGACACTTGAACAGTTGTCATTTAACTTTGTTTTTCTTTTGAGACGGAGTTTCGCTCCTGTTACCCAGACTGGAGTGCAATGGCGCGATCTCAGCTCACCGCAACCTCCGCCTCCTGGGTTCAGGCAATTCTCCTGCCTCAGCCTCCTGAGTAGCTGGGATTAAAGGCATGCGCCACCATGCCCAGCTAATTTTTCGTAGTTTTAGTAGAGACGGGGTTTCACCACGTTGACCAGGATGGTCTTGATCTCTTGACCTCGCGATCCACCCGCCTCGGCCTCCCAAAGTGCTGGGATTACAGGCGTGAGCCACCGCGCCCGGCCTCACTTTGTTTTTCATACTGAATCTATTTCAAATCCACTTGTTATGAATTATATTTTCTTAGATGGGATTACATTAGCAAATGATTATCTCATTAAAGAAACAAATTCCAAATAACCTTAGAGGCGAAGGATGGTGGGGCTAATGGAAAATCGTTAATGTTTTAGTGACACATGCTTATTTAGCTCCAAGCTCCCTCACATCAGAAGCCAAATTACAGAGTTGTGAAACTGGTATTTCCTAAACAGGATAAATCGTTTAGCCACTAGGGGCGTTTGAAAATGAAAAATCACAAAAGGACGAAAGTTATAGTATATTGCTTTAATCCTATGATTAAATGCAAGTTAATTGGTTGATATGTTAGCCTCAAAATACTTAAGTGTGTTTTGACGGGAAAAATAAGAGCTGGCTGGACGCAGTGGCTCACGCCTGTAATCCCAGCACTTTGGGAGCCCGAGGCGGGCAGATCACGAGGTCATGAATTCGAGACCAGCCTGACCAACATAGTGAAACCCCATTTCTACTAAAAATACAAAAATTGGCCGGGCGCGGTGGCTCAAGCCTGTAATCCCAGCACTTTGGGAGGCCGAGG